AAATTTATTATTTTTTAAATAAAAAATAATTTTTTAAATAAATATGATAGCTAAATTAATTACCGTGGCCGGCCTTCGCTGCCTTTCTTTTCCATAAACAATATATATATGAAGAATTTTTGGGAATGAACCACCGTGATCGACCATGAAGAATTCCTTATCCCATAGAAATTCAACTGTAGAATCTACAATTGGCATGAGCCAATCTTATTTTCTAGATAACGCTTCTATTCTATTCGGTTGCAGAAGAGGCGGATATGATCTACGGAGACGGGAAGCCCTCAAAGGGTATCGGCTATCGACAATGAGAGCTTTGCTCAAGAAGATGAAGAATCAATCGGAAGCTTTCGAGTTGCATCTCACGAAACAATTGTCAAAGATCATGTGGATAGGAAAGATTGACACAAACCAACATTGAGCCTCTCACCTTACAAAATTGGTAGGTTTTAACCCTTTACCTTATAACATGACATTTTTAACCCTTTACTTACAAATGTGGTAGGTTTTAACCCATCACTTTACAAAGTTGATAGGTTTTAGCCATTCACTTTATATCATAACATTTTTAGCCCTTTATATGTATGAATTGAAGAAAATAGCCCTTATTTAAGTTTAGCTTATAATATTCTATTAGTTCTGTTAACTGACTGTCAGTTTTATTAGTTGATTGTCAGTTTTGTTAGTTGACTGTTGATTCTGTTAATTGACTGTTAGCATTCGTTAACATTCCGTTTTAAAAAACATGAAATTTAAATTTAATTTTATTTGTTAGTTCCATTAACGGAATGTTAACGGATCTTAATAGTCAACTAACAGAACATTATAATCTAATGTTAGGTGAGGGTTATTTTCTTTTATTCGTATTGGTGAAGGGTTAAAAATATCATAATATAAGGTAAGGGGTTAAAACCTACCAATTTTGTAAGGTAAGGGGTTAAAACTTACCAATTTTGTAAGATAAAGGGCTAAAATTGTCATGTTATAAGGTGAGAGGCTATAAAACCTACTAAATTTGTAAGATGAGGGCTTAAATGTTGGTTTTTGCCAAAAAAATTGCCCTGTTCTTGGCAATAACTTTTATCGATGACTTAAATTTACAATTGGAAGAAGAGTTGGATGGATAAATACTAGTTGGATTTGGAAGAAAATCCCTCTACAAACACCACAGTTCGAAGCACCAGCGTGTTTTTTCTTTTTTCATCATTTGTTGCACTTAATGCACAAGCCATCTTCGATTATTCTATTTTCAAATCTCCCACATTTGATTATAAAACCTGGTTAGTTAAGGCAATTGGCATTGTGCTTTGGAGTGTTCGGTTCCATATGTTCTATCTCAATCCCAAAGATAGCTCACTACTCTGTACAAATAACAAAGGAACCAACAATTTAATGTTGATAGTTGTAAATGTTGCACAAGAGATTTTCACATTTGCTCTTACCATATTTCTTGTGGCAAATTATAAAGACTGGTTATTTACAGTAATCAATTATATTGTTTTGTGTTTTTTGATATGAAGCTTTTTTCTTAAAGATCTATCACCCCCCCTCTACAAATACGAAAGGAAACACAGGCCCAATTTGGTCATTGTTATCTATCACCAAATATGGTATTGTGATGTTGGCTGGTTTGGAATCTCACATGCAATACAAAGAATGGGTGATTGTAGTAACCTATTATGTGCTTTGGTCAGTTTGATTACATATGTCCTGTCCCAAAGATAAGTTACAATTCACCGTAGTTGAGTTCAAAGCTCCACAGTTGTGGAAATTGATGGTGTATTCCACAATTAAAGATGTCATACCTTGGATCCAACTGTTTACAACAAGGCATCATCAACAACAAGGATGGTAATCTTGCACACTAAGTGGTAAGTACTTGGATATATGGAAATTTTTATATTAATTCCTATGTCATTTTCTTTTTTAGGTTTATATGTTTATTATATCCAATATTCTTATTAATATGGCAAACCTTTATCTTATTTTAATACATCTAATAATGATTGGTTATACAATAGAAAATAATACTTCTATTTCCTTAAATCCCTCCCTACTCAAGTAAAGTTTCGAATTTAAGACCTTTAACTTAGAATCTCAAACTCTTAATTATTAAACCACTACCTTGTAGATTCTTTTATCTTATTTTAAGATGAATGGTTTTTTTACCATCTAATTCATACATACTAATAAATTGAATTCTCTACAAATTAACCCACATCTTCATGGGTAGAACCAATGAAAAATCAAGTGTAGGGCCTTTTTTTTTCTCTTAACCTTAACTCTAAGAATTTTTTTTCTTACTCTATCAATAGATTTGTGGTAGGGCTTTTGGTTTTTCCTTTTGGTAAACTTGCTCTTAAATCTTTTCATTTCTTATTGTATTTCTTATTCTTTTGAGGTTGGGTAGGCCTCACGCCTAACCCAACCTCCAAGTAGTTGTGTCCCTACTCGTCTTACATTATGACTCTGTAAGTTGTTTTAAAGAATCAATCCGAGAGAAATTGAGTCTCCTTATAGAGAAGAGATCCAATTTCACTTGAATGACTTTGCTCCATTATGTAATTGCAATATTGACTTCATGATTGTGATGTCTTTATCATTTCCCCTCTAACCCCACAAACTAATTGGATTTGTTACAAACCCACGTTTATGGTTTCTTTTGATCTTGTAACCATTGGCCTTTATCCTTTAATTAATGATAAACAAACACGTGTTTTTATAATATATTATTATAATTATTAAAAAAATAAAAGTAAAAATAATTTTAATGCTATTAAATAAACAAATATTTTTAGTTACTAACATTAAAATTTGTTTTAAATAAATTTTTATTTTTAATTTTGATTTTTAGTAATTATAAAATTTATAAAAATTGAAATTAAAAACTTAAAATTACAAT